ACCAAAAAACTCAGATGACCCAAGCCCCTGTGAGTACATGTCCCGACCGGCAGGACACATCAACGTGGGCAGCGAACCTAGATGGGGAGGAATGAAGGGACAAGAGACACGAAGGGTGACAGCAAGACAAAAGTTCTGATCAAGCTGCAAACTTTTATTGTTCACACAGGGGTATTTATGGGCTGGGGATGGGGGGAGCTCTCTTATCGGCAGTTGCTAGAAGTCTTCACAAGGTGAGATAGCGCAGGATGTCTCAGGGAGATGGATGGCTGCAGGGTGTCTCCCAGGCGAGATGTCTCCTAGGGGGCTGTTTCTTGTAACTGTCAGGCTATTCTTTGAAGGAGAACTCCCTTTTGGTCCCTGGCACTGTCAGGCTATTCTTTGAAGGAGAACTCCCTTTTGGTCCCTGGCACTGTCAGGCTATTCTTTGAAGGAGAACTCCCTTTTGGTCCCTGGCAAGTACAGTGATCGCTTGTGTGCCCCATGTGACAGACGGGTCTCTGCAGGACGGGTTTACTTGTGACATGGTCCTCTGCGCTCTGCCTCCCTGCCCAGATGGCTGCAGAAGCCACCTTCCTTCTCCATCCCACTCCTCCACTGGGGCCTTCGTCCTCCCTCCTCTGGACCTCGGCAGCAGGCGGCCTGCCTTGCCTCTCCATCCCCCACATCTACTTGTCCTTGGACTAGTGTTTCCTCGCAGGCCTCTGTTCTGCAGCTGTGTGGCAGGCTCCCTCCTGCATTTCCCATTCTGGGCATGCCACCCCTCCCCAGGGTGCCCTTGTGGACCACCTGATGGACCTGGCTGCTGCTCCTCCAGGCAGCTGGGGCAGCAGCATCTTCTGAGTGAAAGCCCTCCTTATCCCGCCTGCCGATGTGGGCAGTCCTCCCGGGGAGCCTCCCCAGCACCCCCTCCCTATCCTATGCCTTGAGGGACAGGAGCCCAGCAGGCCATGCTGGCCCCCAGGCACTCACCTGTGAAGGGCACTCCCTTCTTCCCATTTCACACACCAGGGCTCAGAGCTGGTAGGTGGCACCGCGCGGCCTCAGGGAATGTGACCCAGTCATGTGGATCCTGCACATTGTGGCCCCTGCAGCAGCTTTGCCAGGCCGCAGCCACTCATGTGGGGTAAAGTAGGGGCTGCAAACTCACAGGCTCGTGGAGGCCGCACAGGGGTGGGACCGAGGGGAGTAGCTGGGCAGGACGGTGGCACTGTGCTTCCAGCTCCTGAGCGTCCTTGCTGACCAGCTGTTGCCCACCAGCAGGACTGATCCTTTTTATAGGGAAGCCAAGAACCTGGATTTTGTATAGAAGTCTCCTGATTGTTTTTAAACATTGCTCAGTTTACACAAAACATAGACGTGGACCACACCGTCTGTGAACCCCCTTTAGCGCCTGTGGAGAAAATGGCGGGACTGTCCTTGCCAGGCCAGAACTCGAGCCTCCCCAAGAGGGAATCGATTCCAAGCAGAAAGGCAGGAGGCTCTGCAGCTCTGGAAACCCAAATGCTCCTAAATACAACTAGCTATTAGATGGCATCAACCAATTAGCAGTGATTTTATTAGAGGTGATAATGGTGTTGTGGTTAAATAGGAAAATGTTCTTAAGTGTTTAGAAACGTACACTCAGGTAGGCATGATGGCTGCGATCTACTTTAAAACACTCTAGCAAAGACGATGAAGCAGATGGGGAGAAGGGCGGAGACCATTAGACGAAGCGCTACAGGGATTCGTTAAAAAGAATTTGCTGTTTTGACATCTTTAGTTTTATTCTAATCCCATGTGTATTTTTAAAAATTTGTTCTTCTTAGCTATACATGATGGTAGAGTATATTTTGGCATATTATAAACATGCAGAGTGTGACTTACTCTAGTTGGAGTCCCATTCTAGTACATGATGTGGAGTTGCACATCCTTGCACACTCCCAGGGACACACTTCCTCTAGCCATGCCCTACCCTCTACAGTTACCACCCAGTTAACCCATGTAAGTGGGTCAATCTACTGGTTAGGATACACCTCTTGTTATATGAGCAGAGGAGAGTTATGTCTGATTCGTCCTACTGTCCTTCCTATTCCCATCTCCCTCCCTTCTTGATGTCTTTAAAGATTTTCATTTAAAAAAAAAAATCATAGCCACAGGAAACCATAGGCTTCTATGACTCATTTTGAGGTCTTCCATGACCGTCAGGTCACCTTCTACCCAGTTACGTGCAGAGACTCAGGTGGAGATTAGGAGGAGACCACAGAGAAATGGCATCCAGGACAGAGGCTGGAGGTCACGCAGCCCTGCCTGCCTTGGCACAGAGGTGGTAGGTGGCTTCTGCTAAAGCCAACCTGGATGTGGGATCTGAACGGAAGCCTGGTGTAGGGGAAGCTGCAGATCTTTCTTGTGCAGGTTGAGGGAGGCTATCACTTGGAGCTCCTGGGCAAGACCCTCCCCCTCGTGAGCCTCAGGTGGCAGCCTGGGTCGGTCCAGCACAGAGGGCCCAGATGAAGACGTCAAGATCCTGTTGCTTCCTTTGAACAGCTCAGGTAACCGGCGCTTGGTTTTCAAGTGGAGGCGGCTGCCACGGTGGCTGTGCTCACAGCAGGACCTGGCACCGTGAGGCCTGGGCATTTGGGGTTCCTCCAGGGGACAACCCCCATCTCTGCCAAGTCGCTGTAGGGTGAGGGGAGGTTTCAGACAAGTGCTGAGGGCATTAGACTCTAGGGTGGAGGCCTCCGTGGCTCAGCTAGCCCCACAGGAAGCCTGAGAGACCATCTGTGATCTCTTCTTGTTACTGAGAGTGTTTTGAGCATCCCCTTCCCAAAAAGGAATCTTCCCAGGCTCCTCCAGGGCTGATTAGCTCTCGTCTTCCTGCAGCAGCCTCTCAAACTGTCTTCGAGGGTTTCTTGTGCAGATTTAAAAACGAGACTTGATGAGCCCCGTTCAGCTCTGACCTGGCGCAGTGACCACCTTCCTGAGGAAGGGTGTGTAATCGCTTAATGACGGGTGGGGGCTCGGGGACCAAAAGACCTGACGAGGACAACAGAGGAGAAGTGTTCTGGCTCCTGGTTTCAGTGGTTCAGTTCATTGTCGGCCAACTCCGCTCTGAGTCCGAGATGAGGGGGAACATCATGGCAGAGGAAAGCGGCTCAGCCCTTGGCAAGCAGGAAGCAGAGCTCTGCTCACCAGTGACAAAACATCAACCCCAAAGGCACACTCCCAGTGACATACTTCCTCTAGCCACGCCCTGTCCCCTGTGGTCTGATTAGGACACACCTCGTTACTTCATGACACGCTCTTGCACTGTCTCACAGGAGCATCTGGGGCACACCTCCCATCCGTGACAGACACCAGAGAACACAGCCCGGCCTGCAGAGCCCCAGTGGCTTTGGCTTGGGAGGGCCCTCGTCTTTCTGGGCCAGGTGTCTTCCTCATCCACAGTTGCCTCTCCAGGTGATGTGGGGTTCCAGCCTGGCCAGGGACCCTGCTGGCAGTGATGCTAGTGACCCATGGCCATTCGAGTGCTGCCATCCTCTGGGGAAGGTCTTCAAAGATGCACTCATCAGGGGGTGACTTTGGGTGGCCCCAAGGGGCTCCTGCTGGCAGCACAGTTTCCTGGTGCTCAGAGATGGGGGTGCCTGGTGAGGTTTGAATTTCAGATGAACAACCGACAGTTTCTCAGTGTGGTGTCCCCGTGCGGCATGGCAGGTTCTCTCTGGGAGAAAACTTTGGCTGGAAATGCATTTGTTGTTTGTCTGGAGTTCACGTGGCGCTGGGCATCCTGTGTCTTCATTTGGTAACTGCTGACCGTGGATTAGAGATGCCAGGTCCAGGGCCTTGGCAGGGCTTCGTAGGAATGCTCTGGCTGAGACTGGGTGCTGGGCAGGTTTTCTAGGTGCTGTCTCAGCACATGGCCTCGTTAGACAGGTTCTACTGAGCTCCTGCTGCAGACCGGCTTTGTGTCAGCTCTGGGAGCAGAGGAGGGTGCCCCCGCAATCCCCAGGGCCGGGGGTGAGGTGCCATCTGCTCTGGGCTGCCTGTCCTCACCTGTCCTTCATCAGACTACACTCCTCATGTTGCTGTGAGGCTGAAACAACCCTGCCACTGCCCTCTCCCTGCTCGTCGCTAACACACCCCATTTGGTCTTTAGCCCAGAAGGAGCTTCAGAGGAAGCCTTGGCTGGCACCCATACAGCCCAGGGTGGCTTTGTTGAGCCAGGGCCCACCAGTGCAGTGGGGCGCGGTGGGGCTGGCTATAGAATCTGTAGTCCCCTCCCTCCAAACTGTCGAGGACTTCAAACGGGACGGTGTCACACGGCTCCAAGCACCGCCCTCTGCTGGCTTGGGCACGTGTCTAAGAAGGCCAGGCGGTGCTGGGGAGAGGGGGCCGAGTGATGGGTGTGGAACTCAAGCCTCTGAGTGCCCCTACCCCCATATTCAGGGGCTCTTCAGTGCCACCCCTATTAGGCTGAGTCCTGTAGGGGACAGGGCACATGTGCACCACACCAGCAGGGTGCCACCAGATGTCCTAGTTTTATCAAGAGAAGGTGGAAATTGTTAATAAAAAAATCCTCCTGAAGCAATGATATTGTCATTAAAGATTTTTAATGACAATATTTTTAAAAACTGAAAGCAGAATTAATCTCCTCTCATAGCACTGAGCGTGATTAGTAATTACGTGTTTACCTTGTGGTCCTCGATTTGTGTCTTCTTCACTGGGTGTGAATGCCTCGGCACACGATACCCAAGTCATGTTCTTGGTTCTGTCCCGAGACCACGCTTGGCACATTGCTGTGCCCAGGAGGGAGCAGCCACCCCTGCTGGCTGGGCATCATCCGGGCACACTGCCGGAGGTTCTGGCCAGCTGTCCCCCACCTGTGAACAGTCGCACTTTGTTCATAAAGCAGTGGCGAGAGACGCCCTAGAGCCGGCTGGGTGAACTGATGCGGCGGGCTCCATGGGGTCCTCCTGGACAGTGAGGGGAGCCCACCCAGCACACCTTCTGTCTGTCCTCAGGATGCCAAGTTCGTAGAGGAACGGAGAAAGCAGCTCCAGAGTTACCTGCGCAGCGTCATGAACAAAGTCATCCAGATGGTGCCCGAGTTTGCTGCCAGCCCCAAGAAGGAGACCCTCACCCAGCTGATGCCCTTCTTTGTGTGAGTACCTGGGATTGGGCGCTGCTGCTTTGTCCTTCTGAGAGTTGGGGAAAAAGGGGTCTGTCTGGCTCTGGTGGCCCAGCGGTGCCCAGGGAGCTGTCCTTGGTGCTTCTGAGACCCTGAAAGGAGGGTTATGCGAAGTCCAAGTAAATTCAGGTCTGTGTTTTTTATTTTTTAATAACTCCATCAAAGTAAAGATTCGTGTTCTGTTCAGCTTCCAAATGTTGCAAAACTAGAGCAGCTTGAGCAAACTCGAGCTCCCGCTGGCGTGTTACCCCAGTAACACTCAAATATGAACAAGCTTGCGACAAGGGTCAGACTCCTGCCCTTCCCTCTGACAGGGGTCTGCATGTCCCACCCTCAGACGATCAGTCCACAGTGGCCTGTTAACAGGGCAGGTGCTGCTCTGAACTGGGTCTCCTCGTTGCAGCTGCCGGCACCTCTCCTCTGCCCACTTTCCTGTGGCAGCTGGTGGCCACCTTGCCCCTGAGGAGTCCCCTGTTCTCAGTCTCCTCCTAGCCTGAGACATTTACATCCTTGGACTTGGGAGAACTAAATGACACCTTGGTTTTGTAAAAACTGGGATGCTATAAAAGCAGTGAAGTTATGTCTAAGATGTTGTCATTGTGGGAACCATAGAAAAGACCTGGAGGTGTCCACAGGTGGGACTGGACTGTGACTTGCTGGGCTGGAAACAGGTTCCTCTTCCCCCATTCCTTTGATGCCATGTGGAGGGTGTGGGCCGTTTCGTTCAGCAGCGATGCTGAACCTCAGACGCAGGCTGCTTCCTGGGGGATGTGCCTGGGACTTGCAGGTTGAACTTGCAGCAGATGCTGGCAGGGCTGCCCTGCTCCCTGCTCTCACTGCAGCCAAGATGGCAGTTTGGGTCTACTTCAGGGCTTTTGGGAGGAGACCGTTGTGTTGTGCTGCTGTGATAAAAGGCACTGTGCCCGGGCAGAGGGAGCTCTTTGGAGCATGGCGTTTGCTTGTGATGCCTTGGTCTGGGACCACACTGGTTCATGAGAAGTTCTCGTCCACCTCCCGTGGGAGCCCTGGTGTGTGGGGAGCTGACCTCTTGCTGAGTGGTGAACGTTTGGCTCACCTCCCTGATGAAAGGCGGGATGGCTCCAAGATGAGTCTTAGCAAAGGCCCTGCAGGCTCGGCAGTCCAGGCATCTCCCATCCAGGGCTACCCAGCAGCACCTCAGAGTTGGAAAAACTGCCTGTTCACAGGTGCTTGGGCATGGGTTGGACCCAGAAGTGCTGAGCAAGAAACCTTGGGTGTCTAACCAGCATGGAGGACACAAGGTTCAATTTCAAGAGCTTTAAAAAAACAACACAAATGACAGTGTTGACACCGGTCCAAACCCCACTTGAAATGGAGCATCTTCACTCCTCGGGCTTTCCTCCCAGCTCCAGGCAGAGCTCAGCCTTCGAGTTGTCTCCTCTGGGGGCAAAGGGAGGTGCGCACAGCCATGCCTGGCCTTGCTGGCCCGAACAGCAAGAGTAGCACCTCACTGAAGCCTAGCAAGGAGGAGGTCTGGATTCCTTGCCCTTAAGGAAAAAAACCTCTTGGCTAGGGAACTAAACCTCTCAAAGCATAAGTATTCTTCCACATTGACAGATTTTTCTCACCAATTTCAGGATCCAACAGGGTGGGCCTGTTGCCTAAGATGTCACCCCATCCTTGGGGCACTGCCTTATTTCCTCTGATCCTCCTGAGACCCTCTTAGGAAGAGAGCTTCCAGAGTTGCCATTAAGATGGCAGTTAAACTGCCAAGTGTCGTCTTCCCCAGTACTGGCGAGCAAGTGATCCCCTGGCCAGTCACCTGTCACCTCACTAGGCATCCAGGTGGGATGTGTGTCTTGAGCCTGGCCCTCCCACTTGTTTTTAGGGGCAGTGGGATTTTCTTATTTGAAGTAGTTGCCCACATCAAAACCTTAGAAGACATCAGATTTTTTGGGGGGGGGTGAACCGGATATTAAGCTTTTCATGAATAATCGGTGAGCTCTGTCCCTCCATGGCCCCTAGCTGCAGTCACTGGGGACCTGTGCCCACTGAGCATGGAGCCTTTGCCGTACCATATGCCCCTGTGTTGTCAGTCCTGGGAGCCAGCCCAACATTCAACTCCAGGGCACAAGGTCCTCGGCGACACCAAAGCTGGTGGGTAGGACTTGCTTTCGTTTATCCTCATGAAGACATTCCCTAGAACTTTCAGGCAGGATCTGCTTTTGCACATGGTTTTCCATTTTCTGTGTGTTCCACTGTGTTCTGCAAGGGGCACTGTGACTTTTAAACAATCTGCCATCCGCACATATCAGAGTGGAAGCAGCAGGGTGAATTCTACCCACCCCCAACCTCTGGACCTCCAGTTGCCTGCCTTGTCCATGCCAGCAGCAGGTAGGATGGTGGGAAGTAGGCCACTTCATTTCTACTGGGGACTGTATTGGTGTGACTCAGGAGCGTACCAGAGTCTACTTCCCCAAATAGAGATGAGTGGCGGCCCCCAGCACCCTCTTCTGTTGAGACGCTCACTTTGATCGTGTTGGCCTGTGGTTGGGGAAAAGGCAGACCCTGCAAACGTGCATCTGTAAGCACATCCCAAGGGGAAGGTCAGGTACCATTTGTGAAGGGGTCCTGTCCTCCAGAGAGTCATCCTTCAGGACTGGACTGCAAATGGGCGATGGCGTCCATGATTGAGGAGCTGTCATTTAGTGTTGAGTTTCTGCAGAGTCATTCTTCCTTGGGAAGTCACCCTGCTCCTTGAAGGTGGAGAGGAAGTTGGGGTGGGAGGCAAAGTTCCCATTGGGATTTCAGCAGGAAATGCACTCCAACTTCCACAGCTGCACTGCCACCACACTTGAATTTGTTGTATATTTTTTTCAAAAATGTGAACTGCTGTTTTCTCAGTGAACAGGTGAAGTTCAGCTCAGGGATGGAATGCCCAACCTGTGCAGATCCAGGGTTTGTCCAAGCTGAGACCTTTGGCCTTGCAAATATCTGCTAACAGCAATGACATTGTTCAGGAACTGACTCCCATTGCTTCTGTGGATTGTGGAGCGCCTTGGGGGTACTCATCATAGCCCAGTGTGGGGAGGGAGTGCAGGTGCTGTTTAAGATGGCTGGAATGAGCAGACCATCTCGTGTAGACAGTTGGGAAATAAGTGTGAGTGACTTTCAGTGGGACGAGCGTGCCCTGGTTTGGCCTCTGCTCCAGCCGGTCCCTTCCTTTGGCCGCCTCACTGATTCATGCCAGTTCTGTGGCCCCAAAGGCAGACCTGGAAAGTACAGAGGTTTGGAGTCAATCATAGTTCCCAGCTCTGCCAAAGAGGAGAGTGACCTTGGGCAGCCCGAGTCTGTGCACACATGGGTAGATGGCCGAGGTCTTGAGAGTGTTCAGCTCAGGGGCTGCTGTCATTCAAAAGGAATCCCTGGGAGGAGGGGGAAATCCCAGCAGAGAGCAAGGCATCCAGGACAGCAAAGCTGAGGCCTGGCTGTCTCAGGGGGAAGGCCCAGGTGGGGACGGACAAGGCTTCCCCCCACTAGGCCCGTGCCAGAGCTCGCTGGCTGAGGCCACAGGGCTGCTGGCCCTGGCTTTGCACAGGGGGTGGTTTATTCTGTGGGCAGCTTTTGGAACCATGGACCAGGGCTGCTCTAGCCACAGAAGCTGACTCTCTGGATCTGGTAAAAAGCAGCTGTGTCCCCTGGGCCTCTGCCATCAGGCAAGAGACGGGAAAAGAGGTCACTGGCCCTGCCCACTTCCAGAGGAGAGACCAGGAGCCTTCTCCTGAAGTCCTCCCGACTCCAGTGCTTTTCTTTTCTCAGCTGTGAAAAATGAGCCTCAAAAAGTGAAGTGGCTGAGCCATGGTATCACACGGGGATAGGGTACAGAGGGGAGTGGCAGTGGGGTTGATGTGGGGCCAAGGCCTGGTCACCACGTCGTCAGCGTGCAACAGAGCGCTCTGAACCATGTTAACGGTGGCAGTCTCCAAGTTCAGAAGCTCCAGTGTGGTCCTCTGCACTGTCACTCACCTGACCTGCTGCCTCTCCTGGGGAGGCACTCTGGGGTGGCCTGCCACCATCAGCTCTAAAGCCCCCTGTTGTGGCTACTGGTTGGTGCTGTCCATGATCCTGTTCACCACCTCCCTCTTTGGGGTCAACTTCCAGGGTAAGACTGCTGGAAGGTGGGACCGGGGCCAGTTAAGGGACTCCAGAGGCTATGGCCTGGGGGATGAGGACCCAGGTGACCAGCAGCCCCTCCTTTATCCATCTACCTGGTCCAGAAAGGCGGCAGTTTGGCCTCAGGACTCTGCTAGCCATCTGTGGGAGCAGCTGCTGGAGGGTGCAGGAGTCCTGTGCGCTGCTGTGTTCACTGTGGGCCTGCAGCGGTGAGGTGTGTCCCCCACCAGCTCATCTGGAACGGGTTGAGAAGTTGCTGTCATGACTGGGGACAGTGGGCGTTTGGCATGGGTGACGAGGGGAGGGCTGTAGACCCGGCTTGACTCAGACCTGCTATGTGCTGATCTCAGATTCTTCCCAGTGGCTGTGCCTCGGTTTCCTCATCTGTAAGACGTGTCTGGAGACAGGTCCTGGCAAAGGTTAGAGCACTAAACTGCAGGCCCGTGGAGAGGTCCGGCTAGGTCAGCTCTGGCAGCAGTAAGGACAATTCCTTTTGTCATTTGCAGGACTGGCACAGCTCTGTCTTCTGGGTTCCTTAGAGACAGGTCAGAGGTGCTCATTCTGAGGTGTTGGCAGGCACGCTCCTGGAGACATCAAGAGACCACGTATCTCTCCGTGTGTCCCCAGGGAGCAGCACGCTGATTAGGGAGGCAGAGGCTCAGAGGTCTGGACAATGGCATCCCTCTACCAAGCCCTCACTCCCAGCGACCAGGCTGCCAAGTCTCCCTGCCTCCCTCACAGAGGCCCTTTTTTCTCCTCAGTAACTGGTCAGGGTGCAGAGGGTCCGATTTGATCATAACAGATAAGGCTGGGTTGTCATT